TATATGTATATATATATATATATATATATATATGAATTTTGTTCTCAAAATAAGTAAAAAAAATGTAAAAGATTATTATTTAATACGACTAATGCAAAATAATTATTCTTACATTGTACTTTAAAAATATATAACTATAAGAGAGTATAACATGCAAATATTGTGACATGCATACTTTTCGAATTCGGAGTTATCGCTTATTTCAAAAAATTCATAGAAAGGTTAGATGATTTTTAAAGCATCTTAACGCTTTTAGGAACAAGTTTATCCGCAATAATGCTGAAATATTTTTCTTTTTTTTTTTTCATTGTCAGTCTTTCCATTTTCAGTCTTGTGTAAAGAACAATTCTATATAGTATTTATCGATGTTTGCCAAAACTTCCATTTCTTCTTCCACGATGTATCCTTTGATTTTTTACGATCATTTTTTGCACGCGAATTGCTTGTTTCGGAAACAAATGATTTGTACACGTTTGCGAGTTTTCCAGAGGTTTCCGCGGAGATATTTGTATTTTTTGTAATATGAGACTGCAAGTTTATTAAATGTAACGGACTATTTCCCGACAATAACGTAACTCCGCTTATTTCTGTGATTACCGGCGATTGCGTTTTAGTTATTTGTTCATTACTCGAAAACTGAGTAGACATACTCAAATTTAAAGATCTATTTCTTAAATCTTGCATATTTTGAGTTTCATCATATCGTGTTAGATTCTCAAAATTTTTCGACCTTAAGAGTCTCATCGGCGTAAACGCTGGTTTAGATATCTTGGTATGAAGACTTTCGATTGACTTGGATATTTTTACATTTGTATTTGTGACAATTGGAGTATTTGCGATCGATGGCATAGTAGTACTCATACTGGGTGGACTTTGCATGTAAGTGTGCAGTTTACGACGCTTTGCAATTGTATTGTTTGCGTGTATATGTTTGCGATTCAATATGGTACGACGTACGATACTATTTCTCCGCCATATTTTGCTAACTACAACGCGTCTTTGTTTAATCGGACTAAGCATGCACGAACGCTTGATAGAAACATTTCCGTTGATTAACGGGCTCAAGTCTGATTCAGTTTTAGAACATCTAGATTCTAAATTTCTAAAAGTTTTTAGCAAAATGTCTCTTTTTGGCGTTTCGTCGAACACCGGCATCGCCGTGTAGTACGCATGATTACAACGACTGCACAGTTTCTTTTTTTGAAAGAATGTGACTCTGGACGAGTGCTTTATCTGCTTGGGTGTCTTTTTGGCCTCATTTATCAGCATTCGCTTAAATATTTCCTGGTTCTCTTCCGGCGTAAGATATTTCGTTGAATCGCTCGTGCATATTTCAGCCAAAATCTTGTTCGGAAACATATCGCGTCGTGCGATCTCAGTTGGAGTGAGATTCTCGAATCCGTGTGTTAGCTTAGCAGATTTGTCTAAAGTATTACTAAATATACATGCTTGAGCTGCTTCGTCCTTCTTCGCCATTTGTCTCCCGATGTATGTCCTATATAACTTACCACCAGCTACGCGCGTTTGTCGCTTGCGCCGTTGATCCGGACGACTGAAGGCCGAACCAGTTTGCAGTGCTTCCATCAGACTATCCATGACACCTTCCTGTGTTTCATGCGCATTCATATCAACTAATGCACGTTTACGTGCAGCACGAGCCGCCTTTTCCACTTCCGCTTTTTCGCGTGCTTCCCTCGCCCTTCTTTGCTTTTCCTCGCCCTCCTTCAGCTTTACTATCTCCCTCTGCGATTGCTACGATGAGAACATAAAATCGTGTTAGACAATAAGCGGATAGATATGACGCAGTCCGAATACACATATATTTACCAAAAAATCATCTTTGAACGTTTTAATATCGCTGAAAAATTCCTCTATAGTGTACTTCTGTTTGTCGAAAGAGAAGAATTCCGAAATGTCCGTGTATAAACTGTCCATATTTTTAAACATGTTCTGCAGAACTTCATAAGATTCTCTGGCTTTCTTGGCAAATGGCTGCAAAATAGCTTTGTCAAGAAAATATTTTTGTCTGATCTATCCAAAAAGAGAGTACAAAAAATGATATTATCAATCGATATTAACAGAAAATTAATAAAGGATACTTTCATAACATCTATAAATAGATCTTCATCACATTGTGGAACTTTGGCATTCGTGAGATCTTGTTCGAGATTACGAATATTAGTCTCCATTTGACGTAATGTTCTCTGGACGTTCTCTAAAGATACTCGACTAGCGCGATCTACGTGTGCTAATTCCTCAACAAAGCTGAGACACTCCGGAAATTTCCTTTCTATTGTATTCACCAAATAATGCATAAGAGTCTGTTTGTTATCAATATCTTTAGTACTAGTAAGCTAAAAAAAAATACGTTATAAAACGACGTCGATCCAATGATGATCCGATTCACGTGCTCACGTGAAACAAACCTTGGTAAGAAAGCTAATCTCAAATCCAAACGCTTGGCCATTTTTAGAACCGGAATTCATATAATTTCCGAGTAACAATATCAGTTCGAGAATCCGTGCAAATTTTTTGCTGCTTTTCACTTCTTCGCATGCTGCTGTAGCGGCAACTATATCAGGTTTTATATCCTGTACTAATTCTTCATATCGCAGCATGAAACTTAACGATCTTAATCTCGGCAGTAATCTTTTTATCGTAGAAACCTGTCGTCCCCATTTGCAAATTTTACATGTGGAATGAAACAAAAATGTAAAAATAAATTGTGAAAATGCAGTAAAAAAGTTAAATAAAATTACCGTAACACAAAATTGCTCTGCTTCGGTTAGATCATCGTACTGATCTTTATATATCTGTAACTTTGACAATTGATCCGGCGGTGGTAAATATTGAATTAATCCTTGTAATATATTGTCTGAAATAACTGGCCCTTCGCATCTAAATAAACATCTTTTCACTTCCACATAAGGCATATGTTTTAGTGTCCCACCAAGAAGTATCGATATATTTTGAGCAGCTTTACTATCCAAAACTTTGAGATCTTTCACTTTTTTCGTTGAGACCGACCTACGTACACAGTTAATTAATATTTTATATACATACATTTTATATACGATATAAAAATGATCATTGAGATAAAATTTACTTATCAACCACATCGTCCATTCTTTTTCCGCTTGGTTTTGATGCAAACTTTTGCGCTAAACCATCCAATATTTCCGGGCTAGCTAATCTATCTTCTTGTACTTTCGTCCAGAATGACTTTTCTGTTAATTTGTGAGGTAAAATCTGAAACATCATAGAGCATAGTAATAAATATGCCATTCTGAGAACGAGCTAAAATTTAAATTAATATTGTATCTTCTATCAATAACAATTTAACCAAATAATATAAGTGGATTGTACATACCGCCTTCCAATTTGCTCTTTTCAGTGGACCATCTACTTCCCATTTCTTTTCGGTTTTAATCCATGAGGCAAAACATGTATCAGTGGAGATGGAGGAGATAACACTCCCATCATCGGTGGTGGTGGAGGGCCCATTCCTGGCATAGGTGGTGGTGGAGGTCCTCCTATTATGGGCATAGGTGGAGGTGGAGGTCCTTTCGAACCGGGCATTGGTGGTGGAGGTGGACACATTATTCCAGGCATCGGCGGTGGAGGAGGACCACCACCGCCAGGAAGAGGAGGAGGTGGTGGTGGCGGTGGTCCGCCTCCCATTCCAGGCATTGGCGGTGGAGGTGGACATATAACAGTCCTCTACAAAATAATATTTTTGAAATTATTCAAATTACGGTTGTGCGTGCGTACGTGCGTGTGTGTGTGGTGGGG